AAATATATAAATATATATATATATATATATATATATATAACATACATGTATGTGTGTGTAAATTTACATATACAGATTTAGATATATAAACATTATATATATATATATATGTGTGTGTGTGTGTGTGCGTGTGTGTGTGTGTGCGTGTGTGTGTGTGTAATACGGTTTATGGTCAGCACGTGGAAGTACGTGGTCTGTGGCACTTCATCGCAGACGCAGATTGTGAGAAAAAGAAAAAAAATGGGATGCTCAAAGTGGTGGTAGCATGGAGGCAAGCATCTTGATATTCAATTGGCAATTGATCAGTCTAAAATGATACGTGACAAAACAAGAAGAATAGATTCTCCAATCCCAGATCAATTTAGAGTACCATGTTCGTCACAAAACACATTTGTTTCAAAATTCGTAGTCTCACCTGATACTCCACCTTCCGCGAGCATTCGATTGCCAATGAAGGATGTGAGGTATAGATACGTACTCAGCAGATACGAGAATGCGATGGCAGTGCAAGCCAATGGTAAGTACTCGTCGTATGCCTCGGCCAGGTTGATAATGCCCATCTGATGCGCTACCATAGACCCGATGAGACTGATGCAGAATGCGAGAAAGCCTGAGTTGTAAACATGGTATGCACAGAGACTTAGCAATTCATACGCAGAAATAGACCCAAATATTCCGCTGTTGCTCTTCGAAGTGCGCGTTGAATGACCTCCTCCTTATTGACGGTGGATTTATTGATATTTAGAGTATTGGCGGCGAGCAAATACACGAATTACATGTGTCGCACTACTACATTGAAGCGAAGGTGTTTCTTTTTGATACTTTGAACGCAATACATACTTGCTGACCCAAAATAGTACAACTTTGATCCCAAAGAGAGCCTTGAAATTGTACGTACGTCTATATTTAAAGTTTTACGCATACAATTTAGAGCGAACCGTAAAGGCACCCGTTTGCTCGCGCATTTAGAGTTTAAGGTCTTCTGCAGTATAAACCATACTAGTTACAACGACAATACTAACAAAAATAGGTATGGTGCTATGTACATATAGGTGGCAGTAAATGTACGGATGGTCTCTTGGCCAGGATGGCCGTAATTTTTGGACTGATACGTCATAGATCCGCTCTGACAGTTGATACCGCTTGTATGTGTATGTGGTGATGGTCTATAATCCAGAATGAAATCGACACATACAAACAGCTCCGTAGAACTTTAATATTCCACTTGAGTCAGGTGGAGATTCCGTGATCTCCTCGATATAATTGAACTTCCGCAGCACACATACCGTTGGAAGATAGCGCTACGAGACTTCAGAACCGATGGATAGCGCCCCGATTGAGCTAGGATTGAAACCTAGAAGCCTTTAATTTAAACCTAGTACAGGCAAATTCCCACGTGTCAATAGGTAAAACAAATAAATACACTCATAAAAACATACCATTCATACGATACTCCAAACGAGATCCATCTCTTAGTTCGACACCCTTTACGAGGTCCCCTGGTAATACTATATATAGCACAGTCTGAAACGCCATCCACGAGGAAAAGATCTGCACTGCTCGCGGCGAGTAAACATCACTCCATTGTAACGTAGGTATATCCTTAAACAATAATTCTTGCACGTTCATGCATGTTTCGCCCGGACATAGCGCGTACAGGCTCACAACTATGAATGGTAAGAACCCAACGAGGAATCCAGTGCCAATAGGACCCAAAAATACAAAGTCCTTCGGGTCGGTCGGTGGAAGAGTATTATGCTTCATTTCTACCCCCATTTTGATCGAAGAGACGTTTCTCAAGTCGATAATGTGTGTATGAGCTGGTACAAGGTATCCATATACACTACTGGTAGCATACAACCGATGTATTTAAATACAGCGAGAAAGTCCAACGATCCTTTGTGACGCAAAGCGATGATGACACCATTGTGTGACAATTCCATTGGCCGAGCACCATGATGCCATCACTCAAACATAAATCCGTGAAACAACGTGAATCCGTGATACGGATGTGGGAAATTTTTATTTATTTCTATATACATAAATTAACGGAATGGAACGTCTGCCGCGTGGCTCAGTTGGTAGTAGCGCAAGACTGTTAATCTTGAGGCCAAGGGTTCGATCCCCTTCGTAGCAACATTTTTTTCTTTTAAAAATTATAATTGTTTACATTGTGGACGCATGATTTGTACCGTGGAATTGACTAATTTTCTTCATGTGGCCAAGAAATACACAAGAAAATGTGTGCAATCAGGCATCAATATAAGTCAGCGAGTAGACATGGTACTAAATAGGCTCAACATCAACGACCAGTGTAAATACCTGTTTTATTGTATAGCTCCAACCTCTGGAGGCGAGCAATGTTATATCGATATAATGCGAGAGACATCAGCAATCAAATCCGATGAGCGAGCGAAATCCGGTTTTAGAGCCATTGTATACCCGCTGCCACACTGCGCCACTTCATTTGAGCTTTGATCTACCTACAGTCACCAAGTTTGGGAAATAAATTATATTCTCGTATAAACCTTAAGGATTATGCCTCTGTAAATGAGAAACGAACATCTGGTCCCAGATCTGATCCTCGCCCTCAGCTAGCACTTGACCACAGGCAGGCAAGCAGGCAGGCATATTCGCATATCAGACGTTTCGGGGTACTGCGCGCTAGACCCTTTCTCTCACATAGGCGTCTGTTTTAGCGTAGGGATGGATCTTACATCCCGAGGGATGGTAGAGGCAGTGAACCCGCCTTCAGGAAGGATGGATCTTATCTCATGTTACAGCCCTCCTTGCGGATACCTATTACCACTATAACTAAAATACATGACTCAGAAGATGTTGACTAAGTGCGGAGCATCTTTGACGTGGGGATAAAAATCCCTTGGATGTGATTGTTGCTCATCACCAGTCCGTAGGGAAGTTGTCTTTGCCTATCAAACCGACATCTGGCAATTTATGCATACTTTTCTCCACTTGTATCCTCTGCACTGATGTTGAAAACTTCGAGGAAGAAAGATTTACAATTAACATTGATAAAGACTATAATAAAAATAAATACGCGTTATCTCAGAGAAATTCGGACCAAACAAAGTACTTCTACATTAGTTTGGAGCACTCCACGAAATGCTGTGCAGAATATCGCAGAAGCCAATTACCTGATTCATAGCGCTGCAACCCTTTGTAAACGTGGCCAATAGCATTGTTAGAAGCACGTCATTTTGATCCTACATCATGTACAAGTGAAAAGTCTTTAGCTGCTCTCCTTCATAACCAGTGTGGCTCGAATTACGTTGGCGGATTGAGATAGTATGCAGTTAGGATGAGGGAGTACTGACAATGTGCAAGGGTATACGATAGCAGAGGAACTTAGCGCCAATACTTGTCAGGATTCCGCTCAAAGATTCACACGCATCAAAAGTCGATAAATCGAGACTCTAAGGATGTTATGCATTGCCCTTTTAGGGTACAATCCAAGACATACCGTTCCAGCCTGTGATTGGTAGTCTGAGCTGATTGGGGCAGGGAGACGGTCGCAAAGATTCGCAATCTCACGCACTATTTTTGGATCGTAGCTCACCTTGCCTATTGTAGTAGAATTCAGTGAGCGATAAATGAGATGGCGAAATGCAGCAAACCTTTCCGACATTCATGCCGCAAACGTCCACACCAAAAGCTCTATCCAATATTTGTAGTGCTGAATTAAGCCTAGAAATACGCATAAATAGTCTTGATAATGTATAGATCGGATTTGTATGTCACACCACATATTTGATACTGCACAGACATGTGCGCTATAAACGCACCGCTAAGCTACGGCTTAAATCAACCAGTTCAATATATATGTAAGCCTTATGTTCAGAACAAGTATCTGCACTTGATGATGTCCAGGAGGAGGGCGACAGATCGTTCATAAGTTGAACTAAACCGGTTACTCTAGCACAACAAGTGTGGACAAACGCAACACATTTGCTGGTACTGAGAAATTGCGTCTAACCCTGTTTGCTTTTGAAATCTCACACACCCGACATGGGGGCGCAGGACACCAAAAAGATGAGGCATAATAGTCACAATTCGATTACATATACTTACCTTGCTGGACATCAGTCAGGTACTCACAGATGGTTTTCGTTCGCGAATGTAGCATGTCGATCGCATTAAGTTGCTGTGTCATCTGTAAGGAAACTACAACACATTCAAAATTAGCCCACAAGAAATCAGCCCATCGGTGTACAAGCAAGAACAGTATGCAATAAACTCTTTCAAACGAGTAGGTGTTGACCAAAACAAAACAGACCGTCACATCACGCACGTATTGGGTTTTCTCGACAGGATCTGCACAACAAAGAACCTGGCATACTTATAAACCGGACAGGAGGTGCTCGCATTTACACAGGTAGCTGGACACAAAGGGCACCTATAGGAGATAGTGCCATACACTCGCGAGCGTCTGCCCGTGATTTATACCCACGTACAAACGGAGAGTGCTTGAGACGACAATCTCAACCATTGAGTGGTCCAAGAAGTACATAATATACAGGCGTACGAACCTTGTGACTTATTACTATTATCATTGGCATCACCGGTACTGGTTGCACTCTTTGCAATATGATTGAGAGCCGTGTTCTCTGCATCCTCCGTTTCCATTCGAAATGGGACTTTTACCAGATGATGGATAGCTCCCGATTCCTTTGTGAACGTATGTAAAAATAGGTGAACGATACATCAGAAAATTGTAGCTACGAAATGGAATCGCAGTGGCCGACAAGATCGAAGTGAATTTAGCTGGACACAAAAACCGTATATCCACCCACATCCGTGCCAAGCTTCGCTATATATACACCACACTGAAATCGAGAGAGTTGAAAGGCGTGACGTACATAGCATGTAAAAAAAGGTGGCATGCGACGCAGTCACGAAATTTTAAATCACAAACGTTGCTAAACAGTGATTATAAAAGGGCGTTCACTATACGAACAAGCGTACTTGTTGCACCGCCTCAGGGGTCCATAGGTAGAATGCATGATACCAGGTGATATCAACGAACGCTATGATGTTCGATCGTGCAGTTCTTCCTGTGATTATTCTTCCTTCGTATACATATTGAATAATCAAGCATGCATGAAATTGCGACCCCCTCGAGAAGACTCTCATAGCGCATACCTCACTAATGGATTCATAAAGTCCGGGCAAGTTGGCTTGGATGGCCTTATCCTCTGACGACATCCAAAATAGCAGCATCAGAGGGTTGCTTATGTGGTCGCACATCTGTTTGTGGAGACTCATCTCATCATCGGTAGGAGTCTGTGCCACAGTGTACCACCCCACCAGCTCATAGTCCGACGACACTTGCTGAACTGTGAGCCATGTGCAAAAGTATGAGGAACAATCCGAGTAAGAACTGAGAAACTTTCAATTCAAACGAGTAAATAAAGGGATAGTCTAATTACTGATTTAGATGAGGCGTGGCGTAGACTGCCTATCCTCATCATATCCAAATCCGCGAGATTCTAAATACAACGCGCGTACAAGCCGCCACACAGTTATTTGTCTCCCATGCTCTACTAAGATACGGTGGTGACACTGTACGTTGGCATGAAATATTTTACTGCTAAATGTGTATGTACCTAGCACTAGTGAGGGGAACTGAACAAACCTAACACGCAAACGCAATGCTAATCAGAAAAAAATGTGCTGGCTAAAACCTGCATACCCAAATTAAGGCGCTCGGCCACATTCTCTCCATCGACAATTAGTCGATTCGTCTGCTCATCTCGTGTGCATACAACTTCTGTACAACTGATGATCTCCACAACAGGCCCCACTTGTGTTCCATACAACAGACCCACGACTGCGTCGCAATATTACAGAGACGCATTTCAGTATCAAACGATAGCGTCAATGTCCTCCTTTTCTATATATATATATATATATATATACACCACACACACACACACACACACACACACATACACACACACACACATATATATATATATATATATATATATATATATATATGTGTGTGTGTGTGTGTGTGTGTGTGTGTGTGTGTGTGTGTGTGTGTGTGTGTGTGTGTGTGTGTGTATGTATATATATATGTATGTATGTATATATATCTAGTACAACGAGTGTAATATCCATCTACTGCATTCTACTGTTTCGGGCCTATTGTTAATCGGTGAAAAAAGTATCAAAACTCTCAATCGTAGGTGTCCACCCGTCATCTCTCGATATACTTGCCAAATAAAAGCTTGTGTTAAGCTATGTCAGTAGAGATATTCAGCATGGTTTGGTTAACCACTCATCATTTATTGACATATGTGGCAATTGTGCAGGTGTTGGTAGCCTCATCCTTCGAGTGTACCTACACGACAAGTTAGTTTTCACCTCCCGCGTATTCAAGCGGTCAGCAATCCCTGTAAGTTGATCTCGTACTATGCATGTCCTGATACATGCCTCGTTGTGGAATAGTTCTTTAAGATGATGTACAGAGGCCTGCGTGACCCAAGCACTCAACAGTATATTGTGTATACATATGTGGATGAGTATGTATATATGTGCTTCTCTACAAGTTCACAGCAATCAGACCTAAAGCGGTATGTGTATTTGTGCTGCTCAACATACTGCCATGTATTACGGAGTGTGTCTACATAAATTATTTCCGGCACAATGAGTGTAGTACCCTTGTTTGATATCAATCGAGAAACCCCTAAACCCTAACCCCCAAAAACATATTCACGACCTGGCATACTCAATCACCGGTCATTTAGTTTACCTTGTCCTCTAAACTATAAGTGGTGTAATGCAATACAGGCGCGCTTACATACACACAAATCTACGGATCATAATATTATATCATGAAACCAATTCTGTTTCTTTTCCCCTTTCACCAAATATGGTCTCTAAGCCAGAACATATCCAATTAGTGAACTAGTCGGAAAAATCACAATTTGTAAAAAACAAGATTTCAATTCTGAAATTTACAATTTCGAATTTACTACGGCAATACACATTCATACACAGGTCATCAACCAGGTGATCTGGCTACCCCTAGCCAATGTATACCTCGCCGCCTTGACTTTCGAGCTGCTTGATGTGTATGTGATACGTGTGTACCGTTACCAGTCCGGAAACAAATGTCTGTCTTAGTTGGTGGAACTGTTATATAAAAAGTGTATAGGAGCCTAGAAATTACTGGCATCCCCATTTGCTGGAGTTCCGGTTGTTTCTAAGTCGTGGGTACTAATTTGTTGTGGTAACGGATTTGAGAATTCACATCGTACTATATTTCAAATTGAACGGATTCCACATATGCTGCATGCAGAAACACCGAAAAGTTGAAGCTGATAAAGAAAGACGAGTGCAAGATCGCGTCTGCCGTAGTGCCGCTCGGCAACATTATTGCACAGGTGGGGGAGTGACTGGTTTGATTTTAGCTAGTATCAGTATATGTATATATAGATTTAGATGACCGCAAAATGCTACCTTTTTTGTGTACGTACTCTCGTTCAGATGGGTGTTTGACTACTTGTTGCACTGCTCTTTCAGTCTTTGCATTACTTTCACACACACTGCGCTACAGGTAGTTGTTGTATAAGCGATAGGTATTTTGACCATACTGTTGTTCTTCAAATTCCGAAGTCGGACTTATGTACCTGATTTCATCGTCTACAAAAGGAGTTGTATCTAATCCCCCGCCTAAATTCTGATGCTCATACATACACCAGAACTCTCATGTCAAGTTAAATAACCCGTCCAATTGTCTTTGGGTATATCTCGAGGGGAAGTCCTCCAGTATTCCCAGAGTGCACCGCCTCATGGTTTCATGCGAGGTCTTTGCCCTACCTGAAAGTATGTTGTTCAATGTATGGTTATGTTCCTGGTTCGGTGAAAATTTTCTAAGTGTTTTTACCATATTGAGCTATTCATAATTGAAAGTATGCCATCTGCGTCAACAGTCAATCTTTATTTATACACACTAACAACGCACCGCTACGCAGCTGGAGTGACTTTTGCAGCAGCTGCACCCAAAGATCTGGCACTAAACCAACCACTCGACAGACAAAGCAGTGGTTATAGCTCGAATTCAGGTATCTTTTTTTAAATTTTCTCTTCGTTAATTTGTATATATAAACCGCTGGCAGAATTGCATTCGTAGACTTTGTGATAAAGTAGCAAGTTACTTATTGTGTTTCGTTATATGTACACATAGCGTAACTGATAACTTATCAGAGCTATATACCTCTTGTGTAATCATGTGTCTTCAGCACAAGTACATCTCGTTCATCGAGGCACAACTAGATACTTCATCACATACACCAAGTAGTTATTGCAGTTCAATGCACATGTCACAGATGCTTAGTTAGCGGTATGAGTATGGCTCAGATACATCGCCCACATCACTTGTATATATTCCACTCATGTACATCTCCAGCGACGGGCCTATCCGCGTCCTTCGACGCGGTCAGTAGTGAGCGTGTGATCAGCATCGGCAAACAGACTGGCAACATGATCGGTTCCGGTGCCTGTCTTCTAAGCAATGGTATTGGAAACGGAGCCAAGTTGGTAGGTAAGACAGTGGGCCGCCTAGCCTCGCCGAGCCTGGGCAGACTCACCTCGCCATCGTTCGGTCTTGGAAAGGTATCTCCTACCCCGTCAATGGAAAGGAGAAGTATGCGGTATGTATGTGTGTAGGTATGTATGTGTGGAGAAGAATTACGGTGTCGCAAATCAAATCGGTACGTTTTACACGCCTGTGGGCTGGGTGGCTAGACATGTCTGGTCTGGCCAGTTTTCAAGTGTTCCTGTGTTTGACGGTGTGACCTCGATACACTGGTAAGCTGTACCTTAGATATTCCTCTTTTGCCTCCAAGAACGTGAAAGTGTTACTGTGTGGACACGTATGTACCCAGCCTACAATGGCAAGCGTATCCCGAATGTACTTGACGCTGTTTTGCTATCCGAACCCGAGAATAATATCGTCGGTCCTAAGTGGGGTCGAGGGTGTCTGCACGGTCCCACCTTTTTTTTCCCATCAGAACAAGATCAAACATCCGTGCACGTTCATCGGGATACTTCTCACAAACAACTCTACAACACTTTTCTGACCGCATACAGCCAGGTTCGTACAGTGTATATGGTTGCAAACTCTCACGTCCGCCTTGTATTCATGTTTAGGTTAATGGATTTCGCTACAAACAGTATCTTCGCGTCAGGGACAGACCCGCCCTCCACAGAAGATATACAAATGTGAGTCTATTGTAGGAAGGATTCTACAGAAATGTGAGCATGCACAATATTCATATTCGCATTCCGTGCGCGTGCTTATGTATTCAATCCTGGGTGATGGTGAAGTAGAGGTGTAGTATCGGTATGGCATGCATGTATATATGTTCAGACAACTGTTGTATATACTGAAATCTACCACATGTGTCGTTCAAGAAAATATATATAAATGTAATCCATGCACATATGCGTGTAACCAGGCACAGTGTGAAACTATAGCTGTATGTACATGTTTGTGCGATAATCATTTCCCTGATCGCAAGCATTTATACATCGACCAGCCTCTTGTTGCTAAATCGTTTACTGATACTTACTGTTTGCTGTTACGTTGGCTTACAGACACAGCGCTGGTGAAATGGACACCCTTGCAAGACCGAAGACGACGCGTGTACGGACAAGTAGTGTATCTTCCAGTAAGTGAGCAGTAATATTCGAAATTTGAGTCCTACACCCGCGTCCCAATTTGAAAAATTTGTTTAATTAGGTACGAGAGCATTGGTATCCGTATGATACAGCGCCGTAGCATATATGTATAGCACAGACTTGTGACCACCATTTGACAGCTGTCTATAAATAGGATTGTCTACAACGTTTTTTATTTGATAGTACGGAAATCAGAGCTCGACAAATTTTGTAACTATCTCTCAATGAGAAGGTCGGTAGTGAATCTGCAGTGTATTTTATCACACCGATGCAGATACCAAGAAAGTGCTGCAGCGAAAGCAGACCAAAGACAGACAGTCGTATCCACTGAAGGTGTACATGGATATAGTGGGCGTTGACGACTTCCTAGCTCCCGATAGATCTGGTCAGGATGCTTTGTGTATTTAACCCGAAATTGCGCTTTATTACTCCCCTGACGGTTGTTGTACGAGTACTATTCCTTGTCGGGGTATCGTTATTCATAGCGTTCCGTTGTTTAATGTTTAAGAACGAATTATGATATATAACCTTAATTGTGCGTTTGTCTTTTCATGCTACTGACACATTCGAACAATAAACGAGGTATATTGACTCTGTGGCAGTGCCGCCATCGTCCGTCCAGTTCAAGCGACCGATCAAGATGATAGTGAATTCGAATAGACTTCCGACAGTCAGTCGATTCTGTAGCTGCTTAGACATATCAAAAGTTTTTATACTGACCTTTAGTTCATTCAAATGTATACCCGATCACAGAACCGGATACTTACGTGACCATCAAAATCAACGGTGTGGACGCATATCGAACCAAGACAGTACATAAAACTACCAGCCCGGTATGACTCCTTATCTTATAACCCTTCAAAAATGTAGGTTTCGATGGACATCTAACCACTAGAGATTCTTTATGCTACATATTACCCTAGTTTGCTTGTGTGGGATGAGTTTTGTCGATTTCTTTGGCTTTGACATCGCAATTATTATTATGCCACTCTTAAACGCTGATGCACAAGGTATCACTAGAACCCATAACATGACATCTGGACATATATCTCGTCAACTAAAGTGACAAGACCACATCATCACGCTTCTCATCCCATGATGTAACTGTTCTTGTAACATAGCATTCAGTGGCCTATATCATCTATGTTAACACATTGTCACCACCCATGGACACAGGTGTTTGACGATAGCATTGAGTTCAATGTGAGTAGTCGAGATATTTTGGCGCTGCGGGTGAAGGATAAGGGCAAACAGATACACGATACCGGGACCATATCGGTAAGTGCTTATCAGTTCTATAGATACTTTTTACAATACAGCAGAGGCGCGCCTCAGTGGGACAAGCCTATAATAGTTTTCCCGCTTGTCTGTATGTCTATTTGAGAGTAGAAAATGAGTTTTCCTATACAAACTAGCCAAGAGAGGCGAGTCGTGTCTAAACGTTACCAAATTACGAGCATATTAAAGTCGCCATGAGATACAGCCCTGTGTCAGCAGGTACAGTGCTTTCAAACGCTTCACGGTATTTCTATTGTAGTTACTGGTTGAAGATCTGGCTATGGACGAGTGGGAACGGAAGACTATCAAGCTGCCTCTGCATGAACAAGCCACTTTAACAGTGGTAGTGATGAAGACGTCGAAGTATGCAACGCAGCCCGCATATAGTGTGGCTCTGAAAGGAGTGGCAGACTATACCCAAGAGCCCCAGTTTAGACAGAGTACAGCCGATTTTCCGTCAAGGGTATACCAGATCATGAGAAGAAGGGCATATGTGTATGCTGTTAATGTTGAGCGTATATATATACACTTATTTTCATTTGCTACCATGTTTTATATCAGGTGTGAATGAATATGTGCGTCTGAGATATTGAACTGAAATCTACATCGGGACAAATTTATGCGCATACATATATATGTGCCTGCCAAAGGAATTATGATATATATATATATATATATATATATATATATATATATATATATATATATTTGTGTGTGTGTGTGTGTGTGTGTGTG